TGACACGAGGAGACGTCTACTTCAAAACTGGAGCAGGAGACGTCTACTTCTGTCGACTTCTGGCCTGGGGGCGTCGACTTGTAGACAGGGGGCGTCGACCCTTGGACTTGAGGCGGGGCCGTCGAGACTTGAGGCGGGGCCATAGAGACATCCACTTCAGAGCCGGAGACTGGAGGCGTCGACTTCGGGCCTGGAAGTGCCGGACTGGGCAGAGCCTCTTGGACGGGCTGGACCGGAGCCTCTTGGACGGGCTGGACTGGAGCCTCTTGGACGGGCTGGACCGGAGCCGATGCATCCTCCGGAACCACCACCGAGACAGGAAATGATGCGTCCTCTGGGACCACCACCGAGACAGGAGGCGATGCGTCCACCGGGACTACCGCCGAAACAGGATACGATGCGTCCACCGGGACCACCGCTGGAGCAGGATGCGATGCGTCCACCGGGACCACCGCTGGAGCAGGATGCGATGCGTCCTCCGGAACCACCGCTGGAACAAGATGCGATGCGTCCACCGGGACCACCGCTGAAGCAGGAGGCGATGCGTCCACCGGAACCACCGCTGGAACAAGATGCGATGCGTCCTCCGGAACCACCGCTGGAGCTGTTGCCAGTCCCCACTAATTCCTCCTTGGGGGAAGCGGTTGTTTTTTTATATTTACTCATTTTTGTATTTTTTGATTTTGTAATAAACTTTTTTGAAAAAGAAACATAATCCTGATTCTTTCAGGTTTTCTCTAAAGCTTCACGAGTGGGAGCCCTGACCATTAATTGCACAGAGGTAAGCACATTAATTATGGGTTCTTGAATTATCAGGACTTACTTTTCGGTTTGTGACAGATTAATATAAAGAAACCTTAAGATAAGGGGAGCTTGACTCCTCCCTCACCCGCGAGTGATGAGTTGTCTTAAGGATGATAAAACCAGAAAATTAGTGGTTAATTTTGGCTCTGATTCGCAAGTTGAAAAAGTCTCTATCAGCTGGAGGGTTGGATTAATTAAATAAATTGATAAATTGATGTTAGCCTGATCAACTAACAAAAATCATTTTATAGTTACCAACCACCCACATAAGCTGTTAGAGGCGCAATTAATCCATATAACCCAAAGAATAGCCGGAAGAATTGGCCTTTCTCTGGGCTTCGTCCCTAGTATCTTCACCAAAAGATAACGGGATTGCTTAAAAGGAAGTGAGCTACTACAGAAGGAAAAGTCTTACATATTATTTCACCTTTAAAATAAAAGATATGATTCTAACTTAGGACGCCCAACCCAGGGTCTAATACTATAATACTCACCGACACCCCCACAGAACCCTGATGGATGCACAGTCTCATAAGTTCTAACGGAACTGGGTTTTAACGGAACCGACAAATGGGACGTGCACGCGACAGAGCAAGATGCAATGCGTCCACCGGGACCACCGCTGAAGCAGGAGGCGATGCGTCCACCGGGACCACCGCTGAAGCAGGAGGCGATGTGTCCACCGGAACCATCGCTGAAGCAGGAGGCGATGCGTCCACCGGGACCACCGCTGAGGCGATGTGCGATACGTCCTCTTGGACCACTGCTGAAGAAGGATGCAATTCAGACACAGGTCTCAGAGCAGGGGCTTCTTGGGTAGGCGGCACAACTCTGGCGTCTGATGCTCTATTAAGTTCATTAAGTTCAATCCTGGGCTGCAGAGCAGGGGCCTCTGAGATAGGCGGCTCAACTCTGATCACGGACTGACTTTTAGTTTCTAGCTCAGGCTGCAGAGCCGGGGCCTCGTCGACATGCGGCACAACTCTAGCCTCAGGAGGGTGCTGGTGATAGCGGCGACGTCGACGACGAGCACAACTCCCCGGAGGTGCGGGGGTGACATCAACAGGTGCCGAGGACGAGAAACAGCCCACTGGAGGGGAAGTGGTGGCGCTGTCAGGACCTGGTGAGGGTGTGGCGGTGTGACCCATCTGTGATGCTGAGGTGGCATGAGCGACTGGTGAAGAGGGATCTCGGCCAAAAGTGTGGAGGAGCAATGCGGCAAAGTACCAAAACGACACAGCCTTAACTCATTCACTGCCATTGACGACTAAAGTCGTCATTTTAGATCCAACCGTTCACTGCCAATGACGACTAAAGTCGTCATTTGCATTTTTTTACTGTTTGAGCATCGGAACGAGCCCCCGCGCTGAGAGAACAAACATCTCAGCCCTGAAGCTGATCTTCATCCGCATACGTCACAGATCACATGATCAGGAAGCAGACCATCCATGTGTTTGGAGATCGTTTTGGGCCGTTCCTGTAAAAAAAGTGAGGCGCGAACCGGAAAAGCGTCTGCTGATCACAATTCGACAACGGATTATGAAAGAACGGATAACGCTCGAAACACGCGGCTTCTTCCTGATGTAAGAGGTGAGTCTCCTCTTTGTTTTGGCATCAACATCATGCTAGCGCGCAACGTTCTGTGACTCTTAAAAAACAGTAAAAACGGTGAGAAACGCTGGCAGCGAATGCCGTTAGTGATCAGGAAACGGCTGGCAGTGAATGAGTTAAGATCCTCTACATCGAACATTTCAGCAACCCACCACATGGCTTTACTTCTCATCCAAAGCACCATATACCACACCTTGTTGAATTCAGAGGATTTTAAGTCCAAACAACGGGCACAGTTCTGAATAAACTCCACACAAAGCTCCGGATCCCCATCGTAAAAAAAACATCTCCTGTGTACCTGGAGATCCTGCTGGGTCCTGGTCTGGTCGGTCCATTCTGTCACGATGCGGTGTTGGTGGACCCAAAATGCAGTACCCAGGATGACACGGAGGCAGGGGTGAAGATATAAGTAAAAAGTCATTATTTTGAAGGAGAGCCAAAAAACCAAGTAATCCAAGCTGGGAGCAAAAAATCCAACAACCAAAAACCAGATAAATATCTGGGGATCAAAAACTCTGGAATAAACACAGAGGGACAAAACTGACAGAACTAACAAACATTAATGGACCGACACAAGACAGAGACAAGACCGGGCTTATATAGACTGGGAAGATGAGGGAGATGAATTGCAGGTGCGTGGAGAGGAACAGGTGAATACAATTACCAAACCAGGGAGGAGGAAGAACAAACTGAAAAGCTGTAACAAAGGAAAATGACCTAAGGGAAAAACAAAAACCAGAAAGCATGAACATATCTAAATACTAAGGAGAAGCTGACACTAAAGGAAGACACTACAGAAGGAAACTACAGGGGCGTGGCTAAGAGGGTACCAAGAGAGCACAGGCCTCAGAAGGGAAATGTCAGAGGGAAGGGCTCACACACACACACACACACACACACACACACACACACACACACACACACACACACACACACACACACACACACACACACACACACTCACACACACTCACACACACACACACACACACACACACACACACACACACACACACACACACACACACACACACACACACACACACACACATATATTGGCTGGGGGGAACAAGAGGCTGGAGCTGCAACTTGGGGCACAGAGGATAACTAAATGAACGCTGGACCTGAGGGGATGATAAAAACTAGGGTTTACTAGGACTACTTTTTCTGTTCAAAAGCAGTGAAAACTTTATTTTGGTTAACTCACTGATTTATGGAAGCACTTTTAGTTCTTTTTGCACTCTTTATTTTGACTGAGTGTAATGTTTGTTGAATGTTAAATGTACTTTTAATGGTTCACTGTGTGTACGTTTACAAAAGTCCTTTTGTAAATGTTAATTCTGGTAACCCAGGTAGGGTTTTACCGATTTAAAGGATGAATTTAAAAGAATAGCGTTGGTATAAAACCCATACTACTTGCTGAGATTGAGTTGTATGTATTCTAGAGGTGTGGATCTTCACTTGTCTCCCGATTCGATTTCGATTATTGGGTCAACGATTCAATTCGATTCGATAACAAATCAAAATTAAGCTATAGCTGTGAAAAGAAATAGAAATTGAGTTTTAGTTATGTCCAATAATTTCATTATTATTGTGCAGGCTAAGTTTTTATCCTCGCCGATTAAGAACTGGATCGGATTCCGGGATTCTCTCCGGATGGAGATGGCGAGCCTTTGCCCCGAACCCTAAGACACTTCGATTGAAGACCCATCACTCTTCTCACTGAATGTGAACGCCAAGTGGTAACAACTCAAACCACTGAACCAGAGAGAGCTGAAACTGAAAGACGCTTTGACTTGACTAACGACTAAAAGGACAACTCAACTATTGAGTCCAAAATAAGACTGGGGTTTTTATTTTGTTTATTTTTCTGGGCCGGCTCAGAGTTGTTAATCTGAGTGTTGTATTGTTAAAATTGTATTCTCGATTCACATTTTTTCTAACTAAATATTTTCTATTTTGGCTCATTTCCTGCCTCCTGCCGTTTCCTTTTGCACCCACCTTGGTTCCTATTGTAATCCTGCCGAGCCTAGCTGCTGGTCTATCTAAACATTCCTGATCTTAAGTTATCTAACTGCGTCCAGGGTTACACTTTTGTAGTGGATCTACACAAGATGTGATGATTCCATATAAATATGAAATATCAACCGGATTGGTCTTTGAATGTTTAAACAGTAGAGTTTAGGATTCTTTGCTTGTTCAGGGACCATAAACACACTTTGTATTAATTCAGACAGAGCCAAGTATATAGTAAAAAAATAAAATTTTATTTTTCTAAACTAATTATAATACATGACAAGCTAAATGAATGTGATGTGTGTATGTGTGAGGGGGTGTGATGTAAAGTAGATGTTTATCAGAACCTTTGTATCTGAAAGAGATTGTGAATTCTGGGTGGAAAATAATTTTGTTGTCTGCTATAAACTAGAGCTGCAGTTCCCAAACTTACTTAGCCGCGCACCCCCTTCTATGTCCCGACCATGTCGACGCACCCCCCAACCCCTACATCAGGGCATGGCTATATATATATATATATATATATATATATATATATATATATATATATATATATATATATATTAGGGATGTGTATTGGTAAAAAGTCTGGCGATATGATACGTATCACGATACAGGGGAGACGATACGATATATTGCGATACTTAACGCCAGACGATATTGCTGATATTTAAGACTGAATTTATTATAAGAAAATTCCATTAACAGTCCAACTAATACTTAGCATGCTTAACATGAGGTATTTAAAGCAAAATTGAGGGATCTGCATTTCAATGGAGGAAACAGCTAATGAATAGAGAAATTAATCTCTGCCTTATCCAAAGAGGTCATATAAAAAATAAATTAATAAGGTATTCCCTCAAACACATATCAGTGAAATGTCAAGTATTTGTAACATGAAAAAAATATGTTAACAATTTCACATTTAGTATTTTTGATTCTCTTACATATCCAACTTTGCAACATCCAAACAGCACTGTTTATGTTACCTGAAAATACACTAAACAAAAAATAAAGTGCTTGAAAACTTCTTACAGTAAACTGTCAAGATAAAGTGCCATTAAAATAAAGTACAGCACTGCAATTTTGACCAGTGGAAGAATATGTGCAACCTGAACAAAATAAATGTACTCTTCTGGCCACATTAATACAAGTAGAGGAGAAAACTCTCTCTGCAGAGACACTTGCGCCAGGCATGCATGGCAAACTCTTTGCTATTTTGGAGAGCTGAGGGTAGTCTTGTTCATGGTTCTTCCACCAACTGAGAGGATTTTCTGTGAGAGGCAAAGGGGCCTCACCTCTATATTTCTTGATCTCACCTGCTGCAAGCTCATTTTCTGATTTTGGTTCAGTATTGTCGCTACTAGTAGAGGGAAATGTAGCTCCAAGCAAGTCCACCAAAGCACACGAGGTCCTTGGTCTCTTCAGGGGTGGCTGACTGATGGAAGCACAACTGTCGTTGATGTGAGCATCCTCTGCAACATTCTCCTCCTCCACCTGAAAAACATAATATCAAGCAAATATTAGGGTTAAATCTCATACTAATCTGCATTATATATGTAAATATTTTTTCTAAGTAAATTCAATAAGTTATTTACTTAGATTTTTTACTTACATATGGAACATATTCCAGTGTGCTACACCCTCCCCCACTAAAAAACAATAAAATGTTGATCCAACATTTCCTTTTTGTATTATCTGTTAACATAAATCGACCCTTAGAACATATGAGATCCGTTTGAGCAATTTTCTGGCTTTAAATAACAACTTGTCATCGACTACACTGCTGATGACTACAATACCTTGACCACAGGATTGGTAGAAAACTATTCTCTTTCCTGCTTTGTTGTATTAACTTAATATTGCGGTACATTGGTAGGCCTCCCAAGTCCATTAAGTCACGTATGGCTATAGCTACCATTCCAACTTACTCGTGCCTTAACTTGTAGCCTCCTCACATAAAGAATAACTTCAGTCACACTATCACTTCTTACCAAACACTCTCCTAAAATAAAGTTTTTTTCTGTGTGTAGTAGAGGTGTGAATCTTCACTTGTCTCCCGATTCGATTCGATTATTGGGCCAACGATTCAATTCGATTCGATATCCCGATGCATCATGATTATTTCATATTGATTTGTTTTCATTGATAAATAGAATATGTCAGATAATTGCTTTTTATTTTTTAATCAAAAGCGTAATTGACACAAGCTGCCATCCCTGAAAAGCTCTCCATCCACAACAGGTTAGGACAAAACATTTAAACATTAAGAAGATTTAACAAAGTAAAACATGTGTTTCCTGGTTCAACACCACGCCTCAGGCTGAGAAAAACACGCTTTGCAAAAACTCACAAAATCTAAAAATGTTCTGAAAACCTACAGGACACATAATGTAATAATAAAATCCATAATGGGTTCATATATGAGTGTTTCATGTCTCTGAGCAGCTCTAGAGTCCAATATTCATGCTGCAGTTGAAGGGTGTCAGAAATAACACCAAATGAAATGTTTGACTGAGTTTGTTATTTTATTTGAACCCAGCGGTTCATTTCTGAAATCTCCTTCACTAACCAGCTAACTACAAACCTTTCCACTGACCTGTCCTGTGGGACTCTCACCCTTTCACCCTCATGTCCACGCTGTCTCTGGAGGAGCAGATAGGAGACAAGACCTCCTGTAACTTAAAATGAACCAAAGCTTCCTCCCAGTTTCTCTTTAAGCTGAATTTAACATCAGTTTATCATCATGAAACAAAATAATAAGGTGGAACAAGAACTTCTATCTTCTATCTCTCTCTCCTTTTAACTTCTCTGTGTCCCTAAATAAAAGAGACAGATGATCACGCTGCAGCCGCCGTCACTGACCCCGCCCCCTCCCCAAGACCAGATCTCCCGACATCACAACACTCGGTCTGACTGAGCGCTTCCAGGAGAAATAATAATTAAATTATGAAAATAACAACGCGTGTTTGGAGCATCGGTTTGGAGGAGCGTCCTCTGTTCGTCTCTCTTTTGTGAGCAGACAGTCTCTCTCTCTCTCTCTCTCTCTCTCTCAGTCGCTGATAGAGCGAGCGGAGCGCGCCGCATGACAACCCGCTCAATTAACATAATTCACGGCCCAAATCCAACAGAACCGGTCGGGCTGATTCGGTTCCAGTTCGGTCTCAGGTTACAACTCAACCGCTCAGCCCTGCAGTACCACATTAAGGCGGAACCACGTGGTAAATGTGAAGGACGCTCACTCTGACAGATTTGGATGCTGCGCTGGTGCCGCCGTTAAAAAAACAAAACTACATTCCACCATAATCGATGATGGCGTACTCTTCTACGATGCAGAATCGTTTATGTCCGCATCCCGATGCATCGATTATTTGATTATTTTCCTCAGCTCTAGTGTGTAGTTTCAAGTCCAACAAATTATTGTCTAATAAATGACTTGTGTTACCTTAATTGCTCTAGCCTCTCAGAAACAACAGCCCATCAACAATAGCTGACATCTGTTAACAATAATAACTATTTTAAAGAGCAAGTAACGTCTAAATTAACTTTTTTTTGCTGATGAACTGTATAAATGAGTGTCTAATAGTGTTTTAAATGTGTGTATTCATTATTTTAGCATTTTGGTGCATTTTCTTTAAAAATTAAAAATTCTGCCTAAATACCACAGTATAGCGCCACCTTCAGCTTAAAACATAGAATTTGAGTCATTTTGAATAAATTTTAGCCAATGGCTAAAGAGTAAGATACTACGTAAACCAGTACTACGTAGCAGCTCTGTGTCAAAGTTATAAAAGCAACGAGCGTCTCGGCCACGCCTGGTGGCGAGTTGGGAGTTGGATTTGCAAGCGAGTGTAGGAGGTTAGCCGTAGTTCAGCATTAGCATATAGCATTAGCATATCCTAGTCTTTAGCATAGCTTTTAGTGTTATACATACTTATTTAGTGTTAGCTTGGCTGTTGGATATTGTAGTTTAGTTAGTGTTTGGCTGTTAGTGTTATTAGGAAAGTAGTTCGGGTTTAGTGCTCCATATCGTGTTAGCATGGTGAGAAGGTGTAGTGTAGTATGGTTGCGGTGGCTCTGTGGGGTTGTACTCCTTTCCGCTGGACTTAGAAATTAGGCGCCAGTGGTTGCGCGCAATCGGTGTCGCCGGGTGCTGTAGTTTGCAACCAGCATTTCACCCGCGATTCTGCACGTCTCCGTTCCAAGAGGGAGGCCGTGCCCACCGTGGCTCTTCCGCGATTTAGATGCAGCCCACCGACTCTGCTCCCCCACCACGGCGGGCTCCAGTCTGAGGTGAGTAAGCTAAATAAACGTTTTAACATTTTCTAAAGACAATTTCCTACCTAAATGCAAAGTCTGAGAGACGTGGTTCACTTCCTTTAGCTAATATCAGTCTGCACTGCCTTTGGGCTGAGTTATAAAGTTCACAAAATGTGGAACGGGATGTAAGGTTAGAATCAGCGGCGAATCGGAACATATCTCGAAGCCCTGGCTGACGAAACGGTCCACATGACTAATACTGTCAGGCTCGGAGAAAATTCGGGTTGTTTTTGTGTCAGTCAGTAATTCTGCCAACAGTGACTCTAACTAACGCATCACTAGTTGGCAGACAGCATTACAGCGTGAAATCCAGCTTGTGACCCGGTTCCGTGAGGAATTCGGTTCGGTAGGTCGCATTTCAGGCTCTCCACATCGTATGTGACTGACTTTTACGTTATAATAACGACCACACACTAGGAATGTTATAAAGCGCCTATATAGGACAGGGTTCAGTGTTAAAGCTCTGTTCTTTTCTTTTGCTGAGACAGTCTTTTCTTATCTAATGGTTTTGTGTTACGATTAGTTCCTATTATTTGAGTCTATTCAGTCCTGGGTTGATGTATTTTCATCTTTTCTTTTACTGTGACTGTTGTGTAAATGTTTTGTTTTGACCCCAAGTCACCTTATCTTTAAGCAATTAAGGACGTCCTGACTAGGGATTTTGTTTTTTTCCTGGTTCACCTGCCATAATTCAATTCAATTCAAAAATACTTTATTAATCCCAGAGGGAAACTGATTGCTGTAGTAGCTCAGAATAATAATAATAATCAAGTCGTCAAAGAGTTGTTGTATATTACAATGGCTGTTGGCAGGAAGGATCTCCAGTAGCGGTCAGTGTTGCAGCGAAACTGAAGAAGCCTCTGACTGAAGACACTCTTCCGTTGTCGGACAGTCTTGTGAAGAGAACGCTCAGGGTTGTCCATCATGTTCTTGATTCTCTGGAGAATCCTTCTTTGCATTATCTCCTCCAGCGGTTCCACAGTCGTCCCCAGAACAGAACAGAAAGAAAGAGAGTCTGGGTCTGTTATGACCTTCTGCCCCTTCTCCACCAACAAAAACTGAGCCCGTCACATCGACGGCCCCAAAGTACCCCACCAGGATTCACCTGCATCATCTTTCTCCACTCCAACGACGAAAGTGCAACACCATCCCGACATGACCCACATTGCTTTGCCCCCACTACAGTCCCAAATAGTCCAGACTGCTAAGCCCTGTGAACCTCAGCTCTGCCACAATTAGAGCTGCGTAACCCCCTGACACCTCCCAGGTCTAATAGAGTGGCTGTCAAAAAGAAATTGGTACCGGTTCTTGTGTGAAAATGTTTGTTCCTGTTATCTTTGTCCTGGTCATGATCAGCTTAGTTTTAATATATGTTTAAGCCATGTTTGTAGAGATTGGTTGACAAGCTAATAACAGATGCCTTAGTTCAGTACACGCTCCTGCAACATAGGGAGGGCCTGGAAGAAGATGAGGATGCGGCCTAATAAAGCTGGTTTCATTATGATTTCAACAATGTAAACTGCAGTTTCTGTAACCGTTGTTGATTGATGTCCTGGTAATCAGCTCAGTTTATTTAATGATGTTTTATATTTTTACTTAATCAGTATAATCGTTATCTTTTGATTTTTTGGGTATAATCCTTGAGTTTGATTGCTATAATCATCCATTTTTATTACAGGTTACCAACTATTGGAGCAGCTCTATTTTGTTAAAGGTTGTTACTTATTTTTACAGCCAGTTATGAAGGTCACTACTTCTTTTGTGGTCTTCTGTGTGTTAGAGGTTGATTCTTTGCAGCTGTGACCATATTAACCATAATCATAGAATAGTTGTTGTTGTTTTTATTCTTCCAGTTAGTTAGAATGAACTTCGTTTGAACAGGGGGGAAATGTTAGGTAAAAACATTATTGGATTTATGGAAATGATTTTGTCTGGGTACCATCTGGTGTTTTTAAATCAAACGAAGGTTCATTCCATCCTCATTATATTTTGTTAGTAATTTGTAGCTCCGGCAGGGAGGTACGACCTTGCTTTGCAGGTCTGAAGGACCTGCTATCACAAAGCTCCCTAGTGAAGCCCAGACGAAGCTTTCTCTGTTATACCAAGCACCTGGGAATGTTTTTCTCTGTCTGGGAGTCTGTGAAGGAGGTGGGAATGTTTACCTTTCAATTGTGTGTGCGCTATGTATCTTCAATATAACCTTTTTGCCAGTGTTTGCTTGTCGAGAGACAGAACAGACATTTGACTGGTGTGTGCCCTTCTTTCTCTCCGATTTTGCAAAGTCTGATTGTTGTTTAATGGTGATTGATTATTGGTAATTGGTCTTGATAATCTATAACCTGATATCTAACCCCCTTGTGTGTGTTGGACTTTCTTTGAGGTGATCCTGGATTGAATAATCAAATTACCCAACAGTCTCAGATTTAGAGGAGCTGATTCTCATCCCAGCTGCTTCACACTCGGCTGCGAACCGCTCCAGCGAAAGCTGAAGATCACGTTCTGATGAAGCCAACAGGACCACATCATCTGCAAAAAGCAGAGACCTGATCCTCAGGCCACCAAACGGATGCCCTCCACACCTTGGCTGTGCCTAGAAACCCTGTCCGTAAGGTTATGAACAGAAACGTGACAAAAGGCAGCCTTGGCGGAGTCCAACTCTTGCTGGGAACGAGCCCGACTTACTGCCGGCAATGCGGACCAAGCTCTGACACCGGTCATACAGGGACCTAACAGACCATGTCTGACCTAACAACCCCCCCCACAGGGCCCCCTGAGGGACGCGGTCAAACGTGTTCTCCAAAACCACAAAACACATGTAGACTGTTTGGGCAAATTCCCACTTACCCTCCAGGATCCCCCTAAGGGTATAGAGCTGGTCCAGTGTTCCACGGCCAGGACGAAAACCACATTGCTCCTCCTGAATCTGAGGTTCAACAATCCGACGGACCCTCCTCTCCAGAACCCCTGAATAGACCTTACCAGGAAGGCTCAGGAGTGTGATCCCCCTGTAATTGGAACACACCCTGCGGTCCCCCTTTTTAAATAAGGGGACCACCAAACCGCTCTGCTAGTCCAGTGGGACTGCCCCCGATGTCCACGCGATATTGCAGAGCCGTGTCAGCCAACACAGCCTCACAACATCCAGAGCCTTAAGGAACTCCGGGCGGGTCTCATCCACCCCTGGAGTCATGCCACAGAGGAGCTTTTAACCACCTCAGTGACCTCAGCACCAGAGATTTGAGAGGCCAACCCAAAGTCCCCAGACTCTGCTTCCTCACTGAAAGAGGTGTCGGTGGGATTGAGGAGGTCTTCGAAGTATTCTGTCCACTAATCCACAACGTCCTGAGTAGAGGTCAGCAGCACACCGTCCCGACTATAGATAGTGTTGGTAGCGCACTGCTTCCCCCCCGAGGCGCCGGATGGTGAACCAGAATCTCCCCGAAGCCGTACGGAAGTCTTGCTCCATGGTCTCACCGAACTCCTCCCATGCCTGGGTTTTTGCCTTGGCGACCACCGGAGCCGCGTTCCGCACGGACTGCCGGTACCTGTCAGCTGCCTCTGGAGTCCCACAGGCCAAAAACACCTGATAGGACTCTTTCTTCAGCTTGACTGCATCCCTAACCGCCGTGTCCACCAGCGGATTCGGGGGTTGCCACCACGACAGGCACCTAAGATCCTGCGACCACAGCTCCAGTCGGCCGCCTCAACAATGGAGGCACGGAACAGTGTCCATTCAGACTCAATGTCCCCCGCCTCCCCCGGAATATTTTGGAAGTTCTGTCGGAGGTGGGAATTGAAGCTCCTTCTGGCAGGAGACTCTGCCAGATGTTCCCAGCAGACCCTCGCGATACGTTTGGGCTTGCCTGGTCTGACCGGCATCCTTCCCTACCATCTGAGCCAACTCACCACCAGGTAGTGGTCAGTTGACAGCTCCGCCCCTCTCTTCACCCGAGTGTCCAAGACATGCGGCCACAGGTCAGATGAAACAACAACAGAGTCGATCATCGAGCTGCGGCCTAAGGTATCCTGGTGCCAAGAGCATATATGGACACCTTTATGTCTGAACATGGTGTTCATTATGGACAATCCATGACTGGCACAGAAGTCCAATAACAAAACACCACTCGAATTCAGATCGGGGGTTCCTCCCAACCACACCTCTCCAGGTCTCACTGTCGTTGCCCACGTGAGCGTTAAAGTCCCCCAGCAGAACGAGGGAGTCACCGGAAGGAGCGCTCTCCAGCACCTCCTCCAAGGTCTCCAAAAAGGGTGGGTAGTCTGAAGTGTAGTTTGGTGCATGAGCACAGACCACAGTCAGAACCCGTCCCCCCACACATAGGCGGAGGGAGGCTACTCTCTCATTCACTAGGGTAAACCCCAACATACAGGCTCCAAGATGGGGGGCAGCTAGTATGCCCACCCCTGCTTGGCGCCTCTCAGTGGGAGCAACTCCAGAGTGGTAGAAAGTCCAACCCCTCTCAAGGAAACTGGTTCCAGGAAACTGGTTTTCCCCCGCTTCTTGCATCGATTGTTTTATGTGTAATGTTTGATATGAATTTAAGTGACGTGCATTAGCTGGTTTTGGGTCAGAATGTTAAATTACAACCTTTCTGATGTTGGATCAGAACCCTGCTGTGGGATCTGCCGTTGGACGAGCTGCAGGTGGATTATCTGAAGAACCGAAACTACAAAACCACTTAGTTAAATTCCTATGAACAGATATGAATATTAGGCTCGTGTGTTCATGACATAAACAACATTTTGTTTTGCAGATGTTTATCTAGATTTACAGTGAAAACATAATTACAATAAGACCAGAAATGCTGAGTGAAATCTGAATGATCTGGTCAGATTCCGTTACAGAGCAGTAAGCAGAGCTGCTTACAGAAATAACAGATCATCTCCAACTTTTAAAATCTTAGTCAGCATGCCCCCAGCCTTTATAAAATAAATGTGTATATGTATAGGGAGGGACATGTCCAGCATTGTCCTTCATGAACACCTTTTGTCTCACAGGTTGTCCTTTTGCATCTGGTCCCCCTCATGGTCTGAATATGTGAGGGAAGACTGATGTATTATTGCTGCCATCTGGTGGCGGTGAGGAGCACTACAGTGTCAAATAACTGGTAATGGAGTCATGACTCAAAAACACAGAACAGGATTACTCACGTTTTAGAAAAAGGAAGGTTAGTCCCACAGTACAGGAAACAGTCTAGTGCTGAAGAAGTAAAAAAAACTACAAGAACAAAGAAAGCGCTGAATCATCACTAGTCATATTGCTGTGAGAGAACAATCGTCCTGGAAGTCATCTGTCTGATATTTAACACGTTTCCACCTCCTGCACACACGCACACACACACACACACACACACACACTCACACACACAGTTTTCTGTTGGCTCCTTGAATGAAACATTTTGTGAATCAAAGCTAATCACAGCAAATATGTCACAAAACAAGCCTCCACCATGGACTGACTCCTTGGCTTCCCAGTGTAAGGTGTGCTAAAGTGAAGCTTGGCTACGCCCAGCAGGGGGCAGTGTGACCTGTAACATTGCATGTGATAACTGGAGTCCCCACCACCCTAACTGTGTTTATTGGACTGCTTTTACAAAACTACAGTAGATTCAGACGAGCCATCAGACAGGAGGAAGTGGAATCAGTGATCTGCAACAATCATCTGGTCTCTGTCGCTGCAGGCTACAGATACTCTTCTTCTTTGACGTAGAGGATCTCATGGGCCGAGCTGGGAACCTGATAGGGGCAGAACAGACCAGCAGTCAGAGGGTCCAAATATTTCCCCATGGATACTGCAGTCAATACTGACAGTTTATATCAATGAAACACATGTACGCACACACACACACACACACACACACACACACACACACACACACACACACACACACACACACACACACACACACACACACACACACACACACACACACACAGACGTCTAAGAGTTTTATCGTATAGAGGTGGTTAATGTGCACTTTTCTAAAGATGGCTCAGGTTGGCCTCAGAACATGAGCAGCTACAGATAACCCTCCATCACACAGACGTACTGGCTGACATGCAGAAGAAAGACAACAGACTCAGATAAGCAGACTCCAGGAGTGGCTGTATTTAAAGGCTGAGTGCAGCATGAAGTAGATGTGACCTCCATGCACATCACTGCTTGATGAAAGTCAGAAACGCAGCACACTCTGAAGGAAAGCATCTTCTACTGTGTCTCGCATTGAGAACTTCTGATCCTCTCCCTCTGCTGTCAGGAGCTAAACCTCCATATGATCAGAATCACAGCTCCATCTTTCATCAACAAGATCAAAAGGATTGTAGTCATACTGTTGGTGACCAGACAGGCTCAAGGTCTGTCACAAGATCCAGAAAGGCCTGACTGTCCATAGACACTTGGTCACTAGACGTCGCTAGTTATTTCACACAAACATCAGTACCTCCGGAGGCGGCACGGGCTGTCCAGTCATCAGAAGTTTGAAGGTTCGATCCCAGCTCTGACCAGAGAATGCTGCTGTTGTGTCCTTGGGCAAGAAACTTAACCCGCCTTGTCTGCTGTGGGGGTCGGAGGGACCAGTGCGCCTGTGCTCAGCAGGCTTCGCCTAGGTCAGTGCGCCCCAGAGCAGCTGTGGCTACATCATAGCTCATCACCACCAACATGTGAATGACTGATTGTGTTGTAAAGTGCCTTGGGGGGTTGTAGAACCCTAAGAATACGCTATACTAATACAGGCCATTTACTTAGATTATACATATACTTATAGTCTATATGATGTGTAGACTGTTTAGTCTAGTTTTCTTTTTTTAATTTTGTGACTCTTGTCTTCTTCTACTTGCTGTGAGACTGGTGGGGCAGCGCCCTAGCACCCCCAATGGACAAGCTACTGGTGTGTGCCTTACCTCAGGTGGGTTCGAGTTAAAGGGACAGTGTGTAGTTTTTATAGTTAATCTCTAGAAATATTCATCAAAATGTTGTTGGAAATGAATGAAATGATGCCGAGTTGTTGAGAAACATTGGCGGATTCTTAACATTTAACCATAAAAATTAGGTTTAAATAAAGGGGAGCGGGTCTCGGGCCCAATCCCAACACTCGCACTTGCACCCTCGCACCCTTCAATTATGCGTTCCTGGCCAGGGGTGCGAGTGTGTTGGGTGTCCCGATGCTCAAGTGCGGAAGTTGACCACGCCCCCATTGCACCCTTAATCTGCACTTCACCCAAGTCCACAGTGATGCAGACCTGCAGGCAAGGGTATTACCAAGCCCCCACAATGGAGCTCTAAAATTGAGTCAAACCCAGAAGTACCAAAAATTGCAGTTCCACCCTCATCCACTAGGGGCTGGTGTCAGAAGCGAGCAAATCCTCATTGACTCCCATGTTAAAAATACCAATTTCACAGCAGGAATAAACATGTTTACAGCCTGGTACCAGAACATGTTTTTGGTTTAAATGATCTAGTTTACACTCATGACAACTCTGAGGGGGGTGAATGTTTTTCTCACTCTTCTGTTTAAGTGTATTAAAAGCCTAAAATTCTGTATAATTAATGAGCATCAGACCCACGTGACCACAGAGCTAGCTCCGGGGAAAGGCCTCAGTAGAGCCTCGGTCTGGCCTGGAAACTGCTCCGGGATTTTGAGTCTCTGTGTGTGTGTATTCTTGTTTGGATATTATTTGTGCAATTGTTGGACAAAATGACTTGCTGTGGCATTAATTGCACTAATAGAGCGTCCAAGGAGTCTCCACTTCATTTTTTTCGGTAAGTAAAATTATATTTATGTATTTTAGGTCACTGCCGAGCTGAGCTTAGATTTTAACATGTACTGTTTAACCATGAAATTTAAATGTAATAGGGTAAAACCCAGTGCATTTAACATAATGCTGCACTTTAGAAAATGGGTTGAAATATAACATGTTGGTGGAGCTGGGTTCCCACTATCGGCTTGTGGAGCTCTCGGGAGACCGATGTTTTCCACCCGGTTCTCCCCTGGCTTCGCGGCTTCTGTCTGCTGCGCGGGCTGCCGGCTTGTGGAGCTCTGGGATGGAAACCTTTCCACCCGGTTCTACCCAGCAGCAGCTCTGGGCATCTCAGATCGCAGCGGCGCTTGTCTGCTGTACCGCTGCCGGCTTGTGGAGGTCTCAGAGACCTCTGTGTTCCACCCGGTTTTACCCAGCGGTCAGCCCGGCGTATCTCTGACTCAGAAGCTCTGGTGTTGTGCACAGTTAACTCCGGTTGTAGCTAGGTTGCTACCTCCGTTAGCTTAGCTCCCACCTCCGCATTAGCTTTGGGTTAGCTTCAGGTTAGCTTGTAGCTAGTTCGACCGGGTGTCGTCAGTTGATCCCAGCCTTACAGCCCCACCCTCAGCTCCTCCTCTCTTCCCTTTTGTGGAATTGTCTGGGCTTGACGGAACCTGTGACACGGTCAAAATGGCGGTGGTGGCCACCTCCCATTTGGCCTCAGAAAAGTGATATTGGAGTCTATGGAAACCCATTGTCCATATATTAATGTCGAAGGGTATTACCCACAAGTCATGGCTGCAGGAGAAAAGGCTCAAGTGTCTTTTCTGAAAATATGTATTTTCTAGTGAAATTTGTAAATTTTAGGATGATTAGTTGATGTTCTAAAACTTTTAGACAAAGCAGCAATAAATGTAAATTTATTTTAAAATAACTGTTTAGCTGTTTGTTTAAAAGTTGTTATTAAAGGTTTTTGAAAAACTCCTGAGCACGCTGTTTACAGTAGTAACAAGTATGGACTCACACGCCTCCAACAGGGCGGCTGCGTTGGTGATGACGTCACGATCACAAGCCCTATTCTTTATTTCACAGACAACAATGTGCTGTAAGTCAATTTAAAGTAGTCCGGGAATTCACACAGCATAATACGTAGCAGTTAGCTAACATAGAGCATAGTTGTGACCTTGAGAGAGACAGAAAATGTCTGTGAATTGGGTGAATGAACAGCAACGGGAGTGTATTAAACATGTTTACCAGTAACAAGGTGGAAAAAGTTGTGCTGCTGATGTTCCACCTTAAAAAACCTGAACCTGCTCAGTTTGCTGCAGCAACTCAGCAAAATGCCAAGATAGCAGCGTGTTCATCGCACTGGATGAGCATCTGTGGTTGCAAACGTTGGGTTCTGCAGTCTCCTTGAGTCGTGGTATAATCTGCTTTCTCTTGCTAAAACTGAGATTAGAAAATATACGTTACAGCAACAGGTGTTGTAGGCATAGGCGTCATTTTAACCGGGGACGCCGGGGACATGTCCCCGGCAAAATTTGTGATTGGCAGCTGTGTCCCCCCCACTTTCAAAAAAGCCTGCTGATGAGGATTTTTGTTTTACCAGCTCAGATCTTATACCAGGGGTCGGCAACCTGTTCCCATCAAAGAGCCATTATTACCCGTTTCCCACGGTAATTCTGGACGGACCTTAATAAGCAGTGACTTAGTGAAGCAGGCAGGTCGCGCTAGAAAATTTAGTTTAAAAAGACGTCATAAATGTGTTCCCCCGTCATTTTTATTTATAAAATATGAAGTAAAAACTCCCAATTTAATTTTCATTCATTTGTCATTAATATGTAGTCTACACCCGTGCGTTAAGTGGACCATCTTCCAGTAAACGCAAAGCATCCGGCCCACCTCTCCAAATGCGTAAAATGTGCATCAGCCGCTAGTTAGGCGCGCCGCGCGCACCGTCAGCTACGTCAGCCCAGGCAAGAGCAGAGCAACTAGAGAAAGAATAGAGGATAATTGTGTCTGGATGTGGATGGAGATTACATTTTACAGCAGCCTGATCATCATTTAAATACGTAAACCATCACCTGTCTTCTAGTCCACGCTATCAGCATTGTTTTAATTGGTGTGTGTGTGTGTGTGTGTGTGTGTGTGTGTGTGTGTGTGTGTGTGTGTGTGTGTGTGTGTGTGTGTGTTTTCCACTTCAAACACTGGTCTAACCAACCAGACCAGCGTGTTCAGTAACATATTAAACTTACACTTCATGTAGGCTAGGAACGTTTCACCTGCCGTGGCCCGACCGCTTCTGCTCCACATAAACTTTGTGCGTGATCAAATGTCTCTACAGGAGCTTTCTGAGCTGAAGAGGCTATTCTGCCTCAGACTGGATGCGTCATGCGTCTCCATATTAGAGACAGGAACAAGCGCTGTTCAGCCAAAGTTTCATAATTTCATAAAAAGAACATTTTTCCAGGTGACACATCCCTCAGAGAGACCGGGTTTCCAGACCGCTTCAGTGGGAGGAAATCTTATCGCATGCGCCGTGGTTCTGCGCTGCGCTGCGAACCCCTCTGCAGATCTTCAGCCCACTGTCCACCGTGGGCGCTCCGAGCCGCGCTGAACACATGTCTAGTATAAAGCTCTGATGTTCTGATGGGAATCGTTTCTTGATTGATTTAGTTACCTCCGCGATGTGCGTAACGATTAAAATGTCAGCTCATCCATGTGCGTCAGTGTGCGTCGGGGTAATTCTTTCAAAACAACCAACATCCTTGAGTTTATCCGTCAAAATAAAAGTCTAATGTAAATATATGTAACCTGCCGTTTAACTGTTTTGCCTTCCTGTGAAGATTGTTACAAAGAGATAAAATTAAACTTGATTAACCCCAGAGCCACGCACACTGCGCTGTACTTCTGACTGTAAATGAGGGGAAAACGACTTAATCAGATCATTTTCTTTTCAACATGGTTTAATGTAGTTTCATTCAGTAGTTGCACCAATCTAACGAGACAGAGCCTGGATTTGTATTCTGAACAGTTTAAACTGGGGAAGGTCAGGAAAGGATCCGATCAATTTGTTTTTCCCTCATTTACAGTGACGGAGATAACGGCGCAGTGCGCCTGGCTCTGGTGGTAATCAAGTTTAATTTTATCTCTTTGTAACAATTTTCACAAGAAAACAGAACAGTTAAAAGCAGGCTTGTGTTGACCGGACAGTTCCCGTTTTGGCCATTTATTTTGACGGAGAAAGAATAGAAAGAATTACCCCGACGCATGCAATCGAACTGACATTTTATTCTACGCACATCGCAGATGTAGCTAAATCACTCAAGAAAAGATTCCCATCTGAACACCTGAGCTGGACACTGCTCAGCGCAGCTCACTGTCAGCGTGTACTACATAAGGTACACAGCGAGCTGAAGATGTGGAGAGGGGCTTTGAGCGCGTCGCAGATCCAGAGCGCATGCGGGAAGATTCCTCCCACTGAAGCGAGACTTGTCACTTAGAAAATGTTCCCTGATTATGAAACTTTGGCTGAATAGTGCACAGATGACCCGCTGTGTTTTGAGGCCGGGCATCCTCCTCCCCTTTGTTTGTGTAAATAGCCGTTTTGTTTTCTTAGGCTCCCGCGGGTTGATTTCTGTTATTACTTAAAAGACAGTTTATTGTTTATTGAACGTTTTGACCCTTCCCCTGAGTTTCAGGGAGACTTTTGGTTATTTTTGTCACCCGACGCCAGGGCCAGATTAACACTTTGTTGTACCCTGGGCAACAATATTAAAGGGCTGTCATGACTCCCAGGCTGACACCCTCCTCTGCCTCTGCTGCCTCCTCAATCAAGCCCTCAGCTACTTCATTACCATCACCTGCACCTTTTCATCAGCTCATCTCACTCATCTGCTCCCCCTGCTATATATTCACCAGCCAGCCACCAGTTCCCTGCCAGTTTATTGAACGCTCTTTGCCAGTAGATCTTCCAGCCTTTCACCTTGCTTGATCACGGCCTCCGGACCTCATTTTCACACCTGACCCCTGTCTAGGACTCTGCCTGCCAGCATGACCCTCGCCTGTCTTCGACCACGCCTCCAGCCTGCTCCCTGTACCTGCTTAGTCCCGATCTGGCTTCGACCCGTGCCTGTCTTCGCCTCTGCCCTTACCTGAGTATTACCCTGGTAACACCTCCACATCTTAGCTCCTGACTAATGAAGACTTTTAAAGTGCTTACTGTGTTTGGTGTCATCACAGGTCCTTCTAGTTCAGGTCATGACACGGGCCCCATCAGCACGACCCAAGAATCACCATAATATGGTCACATACAGAATATTTTACTGTAATATGCAGTAAATATACTCAATACTTGAATGCCTGACATCACGTAACCCGCTCAGGGTAACCTTTAACCCACCTTGTGTGGACTGACCAATGAGGAGAGGGTCTTAACTTGAGGCCCTCTCTTCATTGGTCAGTCTGCATGAGACTGACTCTCAACTGACGTTCAGTCGTAGGCAGCGAAGCGTCTCTGTGCAGCGCAAAAGCCCGGGTGGACAGTTTGTTTAATGTAGGGTGACCATATTTCCATTTCCAAACAAGAGGACAGGGGATCTGTGCCTATGACGTCACACTATGGCAACACCACACAAACCACGCTGGGACCCATTTTTTGTAAGAACTAAATTAATATCAGATTCTGCCAATTAAAGGGCTCTAAAACAATTCATATGTAAATATTTTGCCTATTCTGTTTAGCCTTGGTCCCAGAATGTCTTGAAACGGCCCTGGGTGTGTGACTGAGTGTTGAAGGTGATCTGAATTGTATCAGATGTATAAATATTACATGTGTATAACTTGTTGTTTTATACAGGTAAAAACGTGTAGTGGAGATAAATCTACCTACATTTTGTTTTGTTTTGTTGTTTTTATTGAACTATTTCCTGTCCTGTCTGTCTCTCATCTTCCTGCATCTCCTCTAAACTCTCCAGAAAATCTGTTGCCTGGATTCTTACTTTTTCACCTCATCAGTTACTTCTGAGCAGATCAAAGATCTCCTGACCGCAAAGCGGAGAGCGCGTTTTCGAAGCTGCGTCAGTGAGGTGGAGTCACCGCAGCACCGCTCAGCACAGGTGATCAGCTCCGCAGTAGCAGAGCGCTTCAGGCATAAATAAGACAGAAAGTAGAGAACATGAGCGGACATGAACGATCGTGTGCTAATTATAGTTTTTTGGTTGCGCCACTTTGAGAATGGACCGTGCGCTGGACGCAGCTGCCTGGAGCGCTGCGCAACAACACAGCGCTGTATGTGCTCTCTGCTCAGAAGAGTCCATGAATGATGTAATATAGGTAGAAAACTTTTTCCCGGCCCTCCCGTGGATGTGTAGGATATACAGCTTCCCCATAATTCGATCCCTACTCCTGGATGAAAAACCGGACATTTTCATCAATACAAGAACCTCCCCCCCCCGGATGCCCCGGACAGAGAGTGAAAAGCGGACATGTCCAGGGAAAAGAGGACGTACGGTCACCCTAGTTTAATATAAAGCGGGAGATTACAGATACAGTATTTTGCTCGTGCTCTTGCTGCCCTGGGCCTGGGCCCCTTAGAGTTTGCGGGCCCTGGGCAATTGCCCAGTTGCCCTTATGGTTAATCCGGCCTTGCCCGGGGCTATTGCAGGAGACCATCCGGTAGAGCTTTAAAAAATAAAAAGCAGTTTAACCTGAACTGTCTCGCCTTTTGTTAAGTTTCAACCCCACACCCTCCTGGACATGAGGGGGTTGTAACAAGGTGGTAGGTTAGAAATACTTTTCTTTACATGCAAAGGAGTGCTCAGATGGTGTGTCATCCCATCAACTGTGAATTGCGAAGCAATGCATGGCACATCCTTCACTGCCAGAACTGGACCATCAGCATGCAAAGGTATGTCTTTGCAGTACTGTATTGTAATAACCTCAGTTATAACTTGAAGGTTTAGCTTCGCTCTACACAAACGTAAATCTGATCATAACTGCTTCACTTTTTGATGCAAAGCACGGTGTTCTGGTGTACTTGCAGTTATCAGCCACATTTTGGGGCATTTTGTAAATGTAGCAACAAGGCTGCTGCTTGTGGGCATGGAGATGGAGATGAGTTGAGTAGGATGGATTACGCCCCAACAACAAGCTAGGCAGACAGTAACAGCTTTGCTAATGCGTGACTTTTCCCTTGAGTCATTGCAGAACCACATTTGAGTGAGAATCATGTCACTTTACCACATCTGTTTATCTTCTGACAGCGTGACGTCTCCAGTGTGTTAAGCCGGGCGTACACTGTGCGACTTTTTCACCTTTTTGAGACGATTTTCCAGTCGTGCGATAATCCACGACATCGGGGCGAGTTTTGCGCCGAGCGGTCGTGTAGTGTACAGGGGGTTACGAGAGGCGCTTAACACCACGTGACCAGCTGCCGATCAGCAGTCGTGAGCTCGCACGGACTTCTGGCGTGTTTAATATTTCGCTCGTCCCTCGTGAGGGTATCGCACTGTTGAAGCGGCGCTGCGAGCAGCTGCGACCCAAAAAGTACCAGAACCGCTCACGGCGCATGCGCAATCCTGCATCAACGCCGGTGTTGTGCCATAAATCGACTCGCTGCCAAAAAATTATTAGCCACTGAAGAAAGGAAGGGGGAAAAACCAAATCGCTGGAGAATTGTTTATTTACATTTATACAACGTTTACATTCAATACAGGGCGCCATTTTACATTGTTTATTTATTTTTTAGTATCAAGGCTGTAACATAAAGAAAGCCAGTTCTTACCACAAACCATTTTTCAATCGCAAATATTGCAAAAAGGATTAATATATCCTCATTGTGAACGTTTAAGACAATTAGCAACACTTAAAACAACTTCCCAACTGGAAAAAACTAAGCTAATCCTTTTTTGTCAGTGAGTCGATTTATGGCACAACACCGGCCGCTCGCTCGCTATTTCCCTAATAACACACGCTGTTCGTTTTTGTTTCTACACGTTTTTTTACTCACAGAGATTGTCAAGAAAGCGTGTTTGTCGTGTTCATGTCAAACTAAACTGATCACAAAACACAGATTTACTGTCTTTATTTGGTTTTCCTCATCCAACCCCCATAAATCCCTGTGTGTCCTCCTGCAGCACTCCCGAAGGACAACAGGCAAAACAAGACAAAAAAGTCTGACGTGTTGAGTAAAAACTGCTATTTTTAGCATATTTTAGGGCCGACGTGTTGCTAGCAGACGTACAGTGTGAGCAGTCAGGTCACATGCGAGAACTGGGTCGTGCAGTGTGAGCGCCTGGCTCGTGAGATCTGCTCTGCGAGGAAGTCGTACAGTTTGAGCTGAAGCTGAACGCTACGAGTGGAAAAGTCGCGCAGTGTCCGCCCGGCTTTACAGAGCTTGCTGTGTCTGGCTGACATCAGGGGTGCGCTGTCCAGCCAGCCGGCAGAGCAGATCCCAACTGGAACCTGACCCTCTACGAACTGATGGCTTCTCTGTCTGTTGTGTTTGCCAAAGCAGTCATGTGTCACGTTGGTGCCATGGTGGATCGCTGGTCAGAAAACGCTCTGTCACCAGCAGTCAAGCTAACCGCACACGCAGCCTCTCACTGGGAGGAGCACCACCTGCGGTCTCAGAGGGAGACACCAGGAAGCAATGTAGAGTCAGAGTCCCCAAAAGCAACGCTGCTCACGGCCACCTCTGTTTACTAATTAGGGACGACACCACGAACGTCACACGCCTTTAGACACATGGCCACCATCTTGTGCCAGATGGCAGGCCCCTCCCAAGATTTCATCAGAAATGTTCCAGTTTAATTGTTGTGGTAACAGTTGTAGACTAGTGAGTTACTGGTGAGCATAAGGGTTTCGAACTGTGCCATGGCGTACCTGGTTGACACCTCCCACCACTAGGAGGCGGTCTCTAATGACAATGGAGGAGGCGGAGCATCTGGGGAAGTTCATTGGAGCCAACCTCTCCCACTTCTTTTTCTGGGGATGGAAAGACTCTGCTGTGTCCAAAGCTGAAGGCTGGTGGCCTGAGGAACACACACACACACACACACACACACACACACACACACACACACACACACACACACACACACACACACACACACTGAAGAATTGGTATAAAAAGCAGCAGATTTGACCCGAGATATTCGGTTAGAAGGGTGGTGAAAGAGCTGGCTAATAAATAACAAAGTGAAGCATTTTATCACCTGAAGTGAGAGAAACTACATTACTGCAGCAGTTTAGATGGACTCTTCTGCTCTGCTCATTAATGCTCAAACCAAAAGCTCCACACTACAGAAAGAAGGAAGGCTTGATGTGATGGCTGTAGTAGGAGTCCGTGACAGGAGTTGGTCTCCTTGCTTACCGAGTCCTCCTGCAACCACCATGCGACCACGCAGGAAGGCGGCAGCAAAGTCTGCTCTCTTTGTTTTCAAAGTCACCGTCTCTTCCGATTTCAGCCAGGTGCCTGAGAAGGACGAAGGACAACAACACACAGCGTGAGTAAACAAATGTGTGTGTGCACACACAAGGTCAGAGAGTAGCTGGGGTGAATTCCTGAGGCACCAGGGTGATGCGCGCGCACACACACACACACACACGCACGCATGCACACACACACACACACACGGCAGGTCTAGGTGAGTGACAGCTGATTGGATGTGAGATGAGCTGCTGATGAAGCCGTGAGGCGTCGGCGTCGCAGCGACGCATCAAACCGAAGTGTAACCAGAGCTACGTTGCTGTTTGCATGTGGAGGCGAGGGCTGTGTGGGCGGCTGGTTTTTACTTCTCAGTTTTTGAAGAATTCGTTGAACATCTTGCTTTTGAAGCGGAACAAGCTTTATAAGCGTTCTCCAAACCCACAACATTGCTCGTTAAATCTATTCTTTTTCAGGTGGTTTCACACACGTCTTCACCTCAGAGCTTCCATAGTCTTCCATGCACCAGCGAGTGTTACTGTCGTCTTACAGAAGACAGATGAAACCCACAGAGAGAAGGTGAGACAATAGAAGGAAGCAGACTGGGCTTTCTGGTCTTCAGAGGTAACGCTGCGAAGCCCGCTGTGTAATCGTCCTCCATGATTAATCCGACATCAGTGCAGCTATTTTTATCCGTTTGATAAAGTTTCATTCAAACGTGCAATCCGAGAGGCTGCTGACGTTAGGAGTGAATCTCACGGACAAAAAACTTCCCACGGGTGCTGTCTCATGATCACATGTTCGGCATACATGGCAGAATACTTTTACTCCCATTCCTACTACTCTGACACTGAACACTCTCCTACATGTAAGAGTGGATTTTTGTCTCTATAACAGATAGTTACAACCATAAACCAGCAGAAGTAAGACTGAGTTCACGCTTTTAACTTAATGAAATTAGCTTAGTTAATTATTTATGCTGAATTTGCATATATTGGTGAATATCAAGCACGTTTTTGGAACATTTTTACTGTTACCGGTCTGTCGGTGTGACATGAGCTGGTGTCCTGGTGCAGCCACAACAACCCGGTGCTAAATGCACAGAAGACAGCGGAGGTTGTGGACTTTAGGACGCACACAGCCCCACTCCCCCCATAGCCCTGTCAGACACGACATCACCACGGTTGCCTTCTGGACACCACCATCGTCCAGGACCTCAAGTGTGAGCCCACCATCACCTCCATCATAAAAAGGCCCAGCAGAGGATGTACGTCCTGAGGCAGCTGACGAGGCAGTTCTACACCACAGTCATCAAGTCCATCCTCACCTCCTCCACCACCGTGTGGTACGCTGGAGCTGCCATCAGAGACACGAAGAGACTCCCGAAGGTCGTGCGCTCTGCCGAGAAGGTCATGGGCTGCAAACTCCCTCCGTACAGGACCTGTGTTCCTCCAGGACACTGAGGTGTGCAGGTCGGATAACAGCTGACCCGTCTCACCCTGGACATGGTCTCTTCGACTCGCTCCCATCTGGCAGGAGGTTCCGATCCGTTTGGATCGGAACCTCCTGCCACAAAAACAGTTTCTTCCCCTTTGCTGTCGAACTGCCCGCTCCTGCTGCTTTGTTTCAGTCACATGACCTGTGTTGTGTACCTGAACTAACCCGCTCTGACCTGTACCACCGACTTGTGTAAAACAGCTGCTGCACCAACTATTGGCTCTCTATATTAATATCATTTCATTGCGCTTATTTACTAATTTTGCTTATTATTTATTTTTCTTGCAGCAAGTACTGCAGCTGATGTTGTGATTCTCGCACATATAATAATAATAATAAACAAATAATTAAATAACAATAATGCATTAAAAATGAATACAGCAAAATCACTCACAGAAGCCTAAAAATACAAACGAGATAATAAAATCAGTGAAGAAGGAAAAGGTGACGCTAGCAGTAAGCAGTCTGAAACAGCTGGGCTGAGTCCAGATTTAAAGGAGGGGAGCGAGTCAGAGTTACGGATGGCTTGAGGGAGAGAATTCCAGACGGGGAGCGGAGCTGCTGAAGGCTCTGCTCCCCGTTGTGCTGAGATGGAAAGGTGGGACAGAGAGAGTGATAGAGGATGATGATCTGAGGGAACGGATGGGAGAGATCATGTGAATGAGGACAGACAGGTATGGGGCAAACAGTATGGATAGCTTTAAATGACACATGTGGTAATAAAACCTTCTGATCTGATCTGATAGCACATCCGAAATAAGCCCATTCGTCCCAAACGCCAATCTCAGATTTCATTATTAGAATTATGAGCCATTAATACATTCATAATGCAAACACTTCTCTAATCCGTGCTTCTCCTGAAAACGTTTGTTTTTGACTAGAGATAGGATGAAAGAATGATTAAATAATCACGTTTTATTTAAACACATTAGAGACTCATGTTTTTTTTATTATATTTATTTCTGCCTGCTTGAATTTTGCTGTTGGTTTAAAAAAAACAGGAATGTGACTCAAAAATTCAAATATATTAAAGATTTATTATTATTTTTCTTAAATAAACCATCATTTTTTAATTTATCTGCCCATAAACCATCACTTTGTAAAGAAGCAAATGGATAAGAAACATGTTAATAGTACATATTTATTAAACAACGTTGTTATTCATACGCACCTTCCCATTACAGGTGTCTCGGTCCCTATAATTACCATCAGCCCTCCTTTTATGCTGTTGCTATGGCTACCAGTGTCTCTGCTAGTCCAGCCTTTCAGCACCAGGAACAGTTCCTGCTCCACAAACTTGTCACTTTGAGATTAAACTTAATCTGTTGGATTTTGTTTATACTCTAGTCCAGGGTTGCTCAAATGTGATGGTCTGAGGGCTGCGGAGGGTCCAGGTTGGGAATGGGGGGGTGCTGGTGGTTCATTACATCAGTCTGCAATATTACAACACAGTGCTGCCATTCCTACACTAGATATAAACATCACTGGATGTATTTCATCGATAAATGGAAGATGTCAGATAATTTGCGTTTTTAATAATAAAAACATGTCTGACACAACCTGCCATCCCCCAAAAGCTCTCCATTCACAACAGTCCTTAGGACTGAACATATAAACATTTGAGAAGATTTAAAGTAAAGAAATCTGTTTCCTCATTCAACAGCCACACCTCAGGCTGAGAAAACATGCTTTGCTAATACTCACAAAATATAAACTTCATAATGGGTTCATATATCAGTGTTAATGTGTTTGAGCAGCTTTAGAGTCAGACAGTTATCTACTCGGATGACCGAGTTTCTCACCCTGTCTCTAAGGGAGAGCCCAGCCCAACACATTCTCACACCCAAGGCGTCAACATATGACGCGTGTGACCAAGCCTCAATATATGACGATTCGGGACGCCCCAGCGCGTCAGGAGATGACGAACAGGGACAACCAGCTGACGCAGCGTCCCAGAGCGTCGGTATCCGACGCCGGTGGTGAGACGGACATTAGAAGTACTTGTGAACTACTTAAACTTCCCCTCACCCCAATCCTAACCTTAAGGTCACAGTTTATGGACCTTAAGGTTAGGATTGGGGTGAGGGGAAGGTTAAATATTTGAATAATGTTCGTGTGACCAGGCGCGTCAAAGAGTGACGCCAGCGGAGCCACGTGTCCCAGCGTGTCCCTGATCGTCGTCTCCTGACGCGCTGGGGCGTCCCGAATCGTCATATATTGAGGCTTGGTCACACGCGTCATATTTTGACGCCTTGGGTGTGAGAATGTGTTGCCCAGCCACCCTGTGGAGAAAACTCTTTTCAGCCGCTTGTATCCACGATCTCGTTCTTTCGGTCTCTACCCAAAGCTCATGACCATAGGTGAGGGTAGGAACGTAGATCCACCGGTAAATCGAGAGCTTCAACTCAGCTCTCTCTTCACCACGACAGACCGGTACAACGCCCGCATCACTGCAGACGCAGCACCAATCCGCACCTAGAATCCTGTTCATAAAAGTTATGAACAGAATCAGTGACAAAGTGCAGCCTTGGCGGCGTCCAACTCTCACTGGGAACGAGCCCAACTTACTGCTGGTGTCGGTACGGGATGTGTTCGGGGTCCTTCGACTGCCGATGACGTCAAAGTAGTCGATTGGCTGAACATGAAGCTTACGGGATTCACGTCATCACTTTATGATTTTGATGGTCAGAACAAATTTGCGGTCGTAGTCTTAGCGGTTGTAGTCCTGTAGTCCAGAAATCAACACTTACTGGAGAAAATATGTTTGAATTTCTAAAGAAAATGTAAAATATAAGCAAATGATAAACGGTGACCCTCAGAAGCTCTTGATGTTGATGAAATGGGGCAAAATAAAATATAAGAACTTTATTGAAAGACACCAAGCAACATTTAGAGTCGAAGAATGTATTTAGATACCAACTAAGGGAATATACAGACGAGCTCCACATGAATACAAACAGATGTGGCTTCACATATAAGAACTGTTCTATTGTTTGTCAGTCCGATGTTGGTTTCATGCAGTTTCACATTCTTTAAAAAACTAAGATAATACGGTGTTTTATTAACAAATTACAATTAAAAAGAAAGCATTTAGGTGTTAACAAACAAGAATTTATTAACTAAACTGCTGATGTCTTTCCTAAACGTGTGTGTGAAAGCCGAGTAGGTTTGCAGTCATGTGACGTCATCGGCAGTCGAAGGACCCCGAGCCGATCCTGTACCGACACCGGTCATACAGGGACCTAACAGCCTGTATCAGAGGACCTGGTACCCCATACTCCCAGAGTACCCCCCACAGGGTCCCCCTGGGGATGCGGTCGAAAGCATTCTCCAAATCCTCAAAACACATGTAGATTGGTTGGGCAAACTCTTCACACACCCTCCAAGACCCCCCTAACAGTATAGAGCGGGTCCAGTGTTCCACGGCCAGGACGAAAACCATATTATTCCTCCTGAATCCCAGAATGGACCTTACCAGGAAGGTTCAGAAGTGTGATCCCCCTGTAGTTGAAACACACTCTGCAGTCCCCCTTTTTAAAAAGGGGGAGCGC